GAATAATTCAGATCTTCTGGTGTAAAGTTTTCAGTTTTATCATCATGAGTTCATTATAGTTACCTGCATTTCATATTTCTCTGAATTACTTTCAGTCAGGATGACTTTAAAAAAATGTGTTGGCACGGCAACGCGATTATTTCCAATAACCTGTTAAAAAGACAAGAACATTTCAATCATAAGATAATGAAAGTGTTGGTCAAAAAGCAATTGAAGTTTTCATGTAACAAGCATACCTTATACTTGACATAGAGCTGTCCATCTTGTTCTAACCTACAGCAAGACAAGATCAAAATTCATTAAGACTAGTCCCTATCTTCAATATTTTTCCACAGGGAAACCAGAAACTTATTTAATCAACAACCTAAAAAGCAAGTTCTTTACCAAGGCAGCATTGTGAGCTGTTTACACTATGCCTGGTATAACAGACAGCTATCATATTGATTATCACTATTGTCATAACAACAACAACAACAACAACAACAACAAAACAAACAATGACCTTAATAATTTGTAGAATGTTAAAAACAATTCTGAAAACTTCACATATTACAACTTACTTGGGCAAGAACAATGGTCCAGTAACGACATAGACATTTTTGTACAACCTGACAAGGTGTCGCACATATTTTTCAAGATGTTCCCATGAATCTCTATTGAATCCTGTCCCTGTAGCAAGAAACAAGACATTTRCATAAGATGACCATAAAAACCTGCAGTAAATGAATGAATAAGTGAATGAGCTAACAAAAGGAACTACACTCAAATTTTGAATTCTGTTATATGCAAGCTTAGATTCTATCAAGCATAAATTTATTGCCTTCTTTGTAGGTCAGAGTGTTTGCATTACAATAGGATCTGTGCTGAAAGAATATATTACATGCTTTCAAGGTTAAGGCTGCACAAATAACATCTTAAAACTGGAGTACTTCCAATGGCTTCAAGAATGACATTTATAAAAAAAAAGGACAAACTGTCAAATGTGATCTTAAAGTCTCAATTACGTCCAATATGTGAGACAATCTACTCAGGCAGTAATTAAAGTAATCATACTCTTGATTTAAAATAAGTATACTTTTAACAAGAAAGATTATGGTTTGAATGCCTTATCTGTCATACGGGTGCATATACTGCCTAATATCACAGTTACTGGAAAGACAGATAGGTGGATGATATGACTGGTTAGAAATGGTGGGTGAAGATATAGAAGAGTTTAATTAAAGCTGATGTGCATAGTGTGACTTGTTGCATTCAACTTGGTGTAAGAACATGTTACTGCAATATCATCTCATGGAATTCTGAGCTTTAAGCTCACACAGTTTTATTTTTGAGATCAGTTGTAAGCCATTGAAACACATCATTCTCTATTTGTAGAGCCTTCTCGACTCTGTTGTGTACATCAAGTCACGTGCATGCTGCATGCTGTCTAATTGACATTAATATTATTTTATTTCATTTATTTTAGTCATACCAACTTGAGGACTAATGTTACTGAGAAAAAATGTTTGGCAGTTGGCTTCTTGTGACAATTTGTGATTTGCTGAAGCAGCCAAGTGTCCTCTGTCATATCCGGTCTTTCTGTATCAAAAGCAAAAAACACACTCACCCACTAATCATATATTTTGGTAGTATAAGATTTTTCTCTTAAATGACTATATGATCCCTTAGTAAACCTTTTCCCAGTTTGTACTATGGCTCCAGGAAAGCTCAAATAACTTATATCATACCTGTAATCTTCATTTGTTGATCTGAAAAGAGGATGGACGTCACGGTCCACGAGAAATTCACATTTGCTTCTATCTGCTTCATGTTTCTTCAGAATTTCTGAATTAAGATGCTAAAATAAGTGAGTTAAAAACTGACTGAAAGTCATGTCAGTAGAAAATAATAAATAACAATAAATAATCAAAATGATTTTTGGTTTTGGTAATAAAACATTTTCAAGAACATGCTTTCAAGGGTGAAATACATATAGCAGAATATCTACTTATTTCAAACTAACACAAAGAAAAATATTAAATTTTACATATAAAATATTTGTCGAATTAAAAGAACATACCTCACACACCCAGTTCGCTTGCCTCAGCCTTCTGCTATACGAAAACACAAAGTTSTCTCGATACTTGATGTTGTCAAAACTTGGATATCCAAATCTCATTATTTCATTTCTTCTCCTATATTCAGGCAGACTGTTTTTTGAAGGTTGATGTGGTTTGCTTTCATTTTTTCCTTTTGCGTACACAACTCCAGGCACATAGTTATTACCATTTTTGGCCCTGTATCAGAATTACAAAGTGTATACTAGTATTGTATATTGCTTGAACTCACATTACGAAATGAGTTTCCTTGCATGACCAAATTTTGATTCATAATGAGAACTTTGTGTGTAATCAATTAATTATCTGAAATTAATCATCCCTTACAATCCTTAGGACACAAAGTCCTTCAAATATGAAACAAGTCATTTGTCATATTGACCAAATTTATACATTTTAAGATAGCCAACAGTTTCTTTAGTGCAAAACCATTCCGACCTTGCAATTTTACAGTCAATTGCCTTCTTCACGACAACAACAACATACAACAACAAACAGGAATTCCCCCTCATGAGACCCCTGTGTATGTCAATCACCTGGATACAATCTTAATGTTCAAAGGTTTCCTAAGGTTCTCCTARAGCATTGATTTGATACTGGGAGTTAGGAGTACCTGAGAATTAAATTGTGAGATTTGGGAGTAAAGAAAGAATTTTCCATCCTCTGTTTCCCATGCACTTTACTTCCCCTATTGTTAAATAAAGTTTTTTATACCTCTCAATGAATAACCCAAGAAGCCCGCTACCACTGATACACAGGATTGTTGCCAATGGTTTAACACTACGACGCATTTTTCAGAATCTCTATGCATTTTGCATTTGGCAAATACTATTGATCTGGTCAGCAGACTTTATTAAAAGTTTTTGTCAGCGGTTTCCATTTCAAATTCAATATGGCGGACGAGAGCGACCARTTCGAAGTTCTTGAACTAACATTGATTCACGGTTTGTAGATAAACATATTGTCCTATCAATATCTCCCGCACCTTTGCAAAACAGTGAATTATTTTTGAATTTCCTATTTATTTCCCTCTTCGGAAGTTTCCTTTCGCATATCCACTACCTTTATCATGTTTTGCAAACTTATCTTGTAAACTTTTTTAGCGGCATGTTTTCTATAACATTTGACAGGATTTATATTCCTCTTCAGTTAATGAGTTATATTGTTCAGTTAATAAGTTCAGTTAGTTATTTTGATGAGTTATAATATCACACTACAAATATAAGGAAATTATATCCTYCCAAAATGTGGTTGATTCTCAGAATGACACTGCATTMTCTGTCTCCACTCTAGGCTCCYCTAAACATCATGTTGCAATTCCTGTAAAAAAAGATGAGACTCTGACCGTTGAAAAACTATCACAGTTTGCAGAAAATATCACTCAAGTCCCAATAGATTTACAGAAACTTATCTTTAAAGGTAATTCATCCACACATTTTTATTTGCATTATTATTTGCATTGGTAGTTGTCTTGCTATATTTCTTTTATTTTCTTAAAATATYAAAGTGATGTTTTGATGTAGGYAAATCATTACAAGACAAAGAYCAGTCTCTGGCRGATGCAGGCATAAAAAAAGGCTCTAAAGTTATGTTGCTTGGAAAGAAAGTGAGTAATTYTGGATGAAAACGATTTAGTGTGACTTTGCAAGATGATGACATGGATCATGACACACCTCATTATTTCATTCATCTGTGTGTGTCAGTGTGTGAATAACAGGACATTCASGCTGTTCTTACAAACCTAAAAATGGTCTAAAAAACAAATTTAGCCAAGTTCTTTTTGCAGTGTCCTCTAATTTTAGCCTGTGTGACATCTGGAATTTCTATCTAATTTCCCATTAGATAGAAATTCCGGATGTAACACAGGCTATCTAATTTACACATGTTATGAAATGTTCAAAACTTTGCAGTCAGTCCACTTGAGTTTAAAACATTTTATGGAAATCATTTAGTGACTATTGATAAGAAACTCGTAACTTCTTAAATGTAACAATATGTTAAATGTTAACTTCAATTTGTTTTGRAGTACAATCCAGAAGAGGATAATAATATGAAAGCACTGCGAACAGRTGAACAGCAAGTGGATGGACATGAAAAAAAGCTAGAATCATACACAGAAGAACTGAATGGAATACAAAATGTAAAGAGAATACTTTGTAACTCAATTAGTTTTGCATAATTGTAAGTACCATGGTGAAATCATGGGACGACATTATAAATTGCTAATTATCCATCATATAATACATATTTTTCAAAAAAAAAACACCTATTTCATCCAGAGCACAGTTTTTTTTTTGAAATTGAGCTGTAAACTTAAGGATATATTTCAAATTCAAATAATAATGTAATTTCCAAGCGATTTCTTATTTCATTCTAGGGCTTCCTACAACAGAATCTTGCTAAAGAAGCAGTAGTCAAAATATCCAAACAGATTCTTTGTCTTCAAGAAAGTTTAATGAAATTACTTGAGTCTCTAGATTCTATGGTAATGTATGGAAACACTAATTGTACAAAACCATAGCTTTGACATTTTTCTATCCACTTTATTCGACCTCTAAATATCTTAAAGTAAATACRGTATCTTTATGACAAGGTCAGTTGTTTTATTCTTAATAGACATTGTCTTATTTTAGATATTAGGTTCTTCAACTTTAGCAATTAAAGGCAAAAGAAAAACTATAGTCCAGAGAATACAGGTGTGTATGTCATGCAAGGGCATCAGTGTTCAGGCCTTTGATGCCATTATTTGCACAGATTGTCAATATTGATATTCAAGAAAACACACCCTCCGATTTCCTATTCTGATATTAGATCAGAAGYAAAAACAAATGATAAAATTTGTAGATTTAGTTTTTTATCTAGGAAAATAAAAATGAAATTTTACATTGGGCAAAATTGGTTGTTAATATACAAATACAACATTCCATCTTATATGTACAAATATCTGACTTATAATTTTTCGATTGTTAAAATTATTGGTCATGTAGTCACAATTAATTTTTAACATTGTACTAGTAAAGAAGGCTTGTATATTTTGGCATTTATTGCTGTTATTATTTATTATCATTATTATTGTTTTTAAAAAAGGGAAAAAGCTGAAAAAAAGTGAAAAAATGGTTGTGAAGGAGGCTATGCATGGATATAAGTACTGAACAATTTTTTTGTTTGTCTGTTTTAGTTAATTATAAGCAAAGCAGATACAGAAATTGCTCGATGTGATGCAATACGTAAAGGTGTCAATTTGTGATTAATACCCACTGATTTGTATATAAAAACTTTCTTTATTGTATTGCTATTAGTAAATAAACCAAATTTTAACTGACTCATGTGTTTATTCTGCTACTAAGGTGCTTACTTAAAATTTGTGTAAGTGGTTGATAGTATCATCATCATCATCATAAATCACCACATCCATCTTTTAAATTGGGATTCCTGTGTGTGAAGATTTTTGGCACGTGGTTTTGCTAAACCAATCAAAACCTGTGGCGTATGTTAAAAAACCGGAAGTCGAAGTTCGTCGACGTCAGGATCTTGAAACAAAACAGCTTTAAATTATGTTGTTATGGTTTGCAAACCTCGAGGGTACAGCAAGTAGGTCATTTCAACTATTCCAATTCTAAATAACGGCCAAGTTTTTTTCGCGAAGCGACACGAAAATTTGATATATTTATTCAACTGGCTTAGTCACGTGGCTGAATCAGCCAATCAAAAGTCACTAGGTTAGACGCATACGTCACAGCTGAGAACACAGACTTCCTTCGAAAACTTTGCTTGTTGTTGTGAGGAAAGGAAAAATTTWGGACGCACTTTAAACGACTCTTAACAGATCAGAAACATGCCTGCCAAACAGAGAATGCGCCTTGCCAGTGAAAAACACAGTCAGAATGTAGCTACGAGAGGGAATGTACCTAAAACTCTGGTAAATACGACATTTTCCACTGTTTTTCCAGACTAGCAAATGGCGTCATTTTGAACTCAACTGCAATGTGATATCTCTTCTTCTAACGATTCTATCACACCTTTACAAATAGAAAGCGCAAGAAGAAAAGTATGCTGTTGGTCCTATACTCCTTGGATTGTTTCTCTTCGTTGTATGTGGATCAGGTAGCTATTTTGATGCTTTTGTAGTAGTTRACTATTGAGCAGCTCAACGAATCTTTGTCGTCGTGTTACGACACAAGTGCCCGATAAGAAAGACACTTGTTATAACTTGGAAGACGTTATGATAACACGTTTTTTATTTATTTTTTCTTGACAGCGATCTTCCAAATTATRCAAAGTATCAGAATGGCATAAGAATTTCAACATCAAGAATTTTAAATCTACACGACATCGACGAAATAACTCGACACAAATTTTTAACACAAGACACACGCTAACTTATAAATAGTTCTTCGTTTTCTTTCTTCCTACACATGAAGCCCTATACATGCGTTTATGTATAGCTTCTCTTTGCAAATGAATCTTGACAAAAGTCTTAATCTATTTTGTGAAGTAAGTGGATGTAAGTAGAGTATCCATTTAGGATTTTCACAATTATTATTAAACAGGTATAAGACYAAAAATATATGAATTGTATCCTAGAACTACTATATCCTTCAGTAGTAGTAATAAAGTCCTTATCAGCCAGAAGGCAAGAGATATTTTGTGTGAATAAAGATAACTAACTATTTAAATAATAATACATGTATTGCTTCATCTTTATTAGTGACACTTTTTTCCACTTCAAAGATTTCAATGACATATTTGCCGCCCTCAGTTCATTCCTGGGAAACGAGAGAAATGCCCCTTTAATATGATTTATTTATACCATATACTTATTTCACATTCAGTGTAAAAAAGTTTATTGCTTCTTTTATTTTGATCATTTTTTCTAGTTAATATATCACAGAAATTTTTCTGATTTGCTGATTTTTTACTTGATTCTGATTAATTGGCTGTCATTGGAAAAGTTATTTTGCATGCAATTGTTATTCAAAAGGAGCTTCATTATTTTGCTGCTCTGTTTTGCTACATGATGGTCCTTGTCTGGTTTTAATCATTCTGCTATTTTCAAGGCAAGCAGTCCAAGGATCAATCAATTCATCTTTGGCATATTAACATAGTTGATTTTGGCTTGTTTCAAATGCTGTATACTATCTCACATTTCCTGAGTTGTGCAAATTGTAAATTTGGACATGCTTACCATCTGAAGGCAACATTAGCATTTATGACAGGATTCATCTTTTAAATAAGTGGGATATTTCGATTAGGCACACTTCGATTGGTGCATCTCACGTGCTGAGATGCACCATGCAAGCTCGCCACTGCAATCTCACTCAATCTCATTAGCATTCAATTAAGGACTGTGAAGTGAATTGTATAAAACATCTCAAAGTAAGTGCAACCTTCTGTCACTAGTAGCCTGCATTACATCTGGTTTTATTTGCCAAAAGACAAATAAAAGCGGATGTAACGCAGGCTAGTCACTAGGGATGACTAGAGACTTGGTTGGCTCAWTTTTTTGAAATTTTGGGACTTRGAGCAGGACGTCCAGTAGTCCTTACTTTTTCAATTAAAAAGGAAAGGAAAGAAAAAACAGCCCCCCTGCTCCACTGTCCCATTTCTTATTGGCCAAGATTTGTCTCTTAATATAATGTCATCAGATATCATAGGGAGGCTTCTAAAATTATAAGGAGAAGACAAAATAGCTTGAWATCTGATACTTGTGAAGTAGACTTTGGTGTACCATACTTTCTTACTCTTTATTTTGAATGATTTTCTTTGCAATTTCTGGGGTCATTTCCATGCATCACACATTATTAAACTTTTGCTCCTATAGTTTGCTACACAGGTTTATAAAAACACTTAAAATAATTAGTAGTTACTTAATTCAAAAGACATGATTTGGCCATGTGAGGTCAGTTATAACAAAATAGTTATAGTCATAACAAAATAGTTGCTGTAAATTAAATGGTGAACAATTGAGCCACTTTACTCAACTGTTAAAAGCATATGTTGTCACAAAAAGAGATGGAGGAGAAATGGGATAAGATTGGTGACCAAAGATTGTGGATGTGTGGAAATGAGGAATGCTAGCCTGCTCTTCCTGAAGAACAATTTTTAGTTTTTGAAAAGCTCCTTGTACATGATGGTTTTGACTAATCACCAGGAATGGATACTCTGTTGTTATGGCGGGATGCCACTGTTCCACTGTGAAAAAGTGTTTTGTGGTTATTTTGAACAGGCCAGTAGAGGGTAGCCTAGGAACAAGGCAAGTGACCAATGATTTTAATCTGCCTTTGTATGGTTCTGGATTGGATGAATGGGGTATCAGCCTTACTTTGAATGAGGGATTTTGTCTTCATGGCTGAAAATAATGCTACCCAACAAGCTTATTTGGCTCTTATACATGGACCAAAAGTATGCATTAGTTTGATATACACAGCAAATCCAAAAAAAAAAACTAAAAAAAAAACTATAGAAAGAGTAGAATATGAATAATTGCTATTGTGGACAATAAAATTATTGTATGACATTCAAATGTTGAGTGTGGTTAGTTGTGATCCGASTGGCAGCCATTTCCTTCATCATAGCAATGAACCTGCTATAGTCAGTGGCACCAGCAAAACATGTGCCTGTCTGAAGCACGCATTATGGTACTTATTGAACTAACATAGCAATCACCAATGATAATATCCCACTTACTGCAGTTAAGTGTCTAAAGATTCAGACACAAATTAAACCACAATTTAAATACTAGATTTTTACYAAGTCTGTTTCAATTTTGGCTCWATTCGTGAAATTTCCTTRATTTTTTGTAATTACAAATWGAGTCTGACTTGCAGCAAGTCTATTTAACCCTTTCCCTCCCAWGGGGGTCAGTCAGGACCTACCTCATAATTCCAAGGGGTCAATAGAGAACAAAGTCAAAATTAACATACCTTTTTTTAATCATAAAAAGTATGAAAACTACGACATTATCAGCCTTCACAATAGCAAAAAAAGATGCTCTGCAATAATTGTTCTTTAAGTTAAGACCATGAATACTAGCTATGTTTAGAAGAATCGAAGTTTGAAAATTTATGTTTCAGCATTTTCACTAATTTCATCTACTGCTGAGTTACTCAAATAGAAAGAAGTTCATTTTCTCCAAATATGAAACACATCCTAGCTCTAAATTTTCTCTAGAACTTACTAATATGGTTTTTAAACGTTCTTATAATAAAATCAGAATGAAAAGAGAATATTCTTGTGCAAAGCTTGAAAGGAGTAATTCACCGTTTGAATTTCACGCCATTGTTTGGTCTCATCACAAGTCCTTTTCGGCGTGATTTGGTCAATACGTGATTTGGTCAATACATGACATAACACGTATATCTATTGTTATCTAAAGAGTTTTGATTGGTTAAAATAGGGTCTATGATTTTGTGASAGTCACACCATAGTGCCACATGGCAATCCTGGGAGAGAAAGGGTTAAACAAAGTGAACCAAAGTCACTCTCTGATAGTTAACCAGTTCATGACATAACTACCGTTKCTGTAAATCATGTCTAGAAAATGGCAACATAAAACATTCCCCRAAGCCCTTAATTAAAACATTTCACAATAAAAACAAGTAGACACAGGTTGAAAGATGAGCTAAAAACATTCTGACAAGCAAACACGCAGGAATGCCRGTCAGCCTGCGATTAGCWCAAGTTTAATGGAATGGTTGTTAATCGTAGCAACTAGATCTCATGGAAATTGTAATGGTACAAGACTACTTATGATAAACAACATTTTCTAAGAAAATATTTGAAAATATTTATGATAATAAATGTACACAATGTAGAGATCAAAAAATGTAATATAATTTTCCTTCTGAGGAAACTTCTGTTTTTCTTTAGGCTAAGTAAGATCTTKCTGATCAAAATCCATAAAAGAGTTTATCCGATTTTCAAGAAACAACTTCAAGTACCTAGAGTGAATAGATTTTACAGCAAATTTTGAAAATTGATCTAAATTACATTCCACTGCTTTTCTATCAGTCATGTTCAGCTTTCTGACATTTTGTCAGGAAACAAATAATTCACAACTAAATGCAATTCTTTGATTTTACAGTACTGTCTAGTCCAATGTAATTAATTCAGGCAGAGAAGAATTGAAATTTTCTAATTACACCTTTTTTTGTATAAACTATAACAGCAATGAAGCAGACATCTTCATTTTGATATCTCTTAGTTTCAAGGTATAGTAAATCCTTTAGGCTTTGATGTGATATAAACACTAAAAGGGTGCTAATATTTTACATTTTGTAATACTCTTTTCATAATGCTATCTTAAACTAATGCTATTTTAAACTATTTGCTGCACACTTTTGATATTTATATTCTAACATTAAAGCACTAAACATGATAAGTCATGATTTAGAATCCAGGCCCAGTGAGCAACTGTATGGCAATGAAGTTGTCCACCAGAGATACCAATGTTATTCAGTGTTCATATAACATTAATCAGATATTAACCAACAAACATAGGTCTATCCTGCGAAACTGAGAACCAAAATATCAAAGAATGGAAACTATGTTACAGAATGCTTGAAAAAMTTTACATAATACTCCCCCCAAGAAAACCAAATATTAAGGAAGGATTAAAAGAAATACCTAGCTTTTGCAAAATTATAGTACTTATTGAACTAACATAGCAATCACCAATGGTAATAGTCCACTTACTGCAGTTAAGTGTCTAAAGGTTTAGACACAAATTTGCAGTAATGGTCCATTATGGAGATTGGCTTCATAAGTGACATTTAAAAGAACTAAATAAATGTATACTATGAATTAAAACTTGATAATGACTTTATGGACAGCCTTGTCTTWGACCTTTTGCAAATGAAACATCAAATACACCATAAAAGTTATTTTTACTACACCTAACCTGGACATTTAATATCCTTAGTTAGCAGTATTTGCTGTATTACACATTAGTAGACATTGAAGAAACAGCTAATATAGTTGCAAAAGTTGACTAAACTTGAGCTACAATACTTATTAAACTAATGTCAACAAAAGAGTGGATGCACTAAATTCAAGACACTTACTTTTTACTATTTGATAAGATAGTAAGAAATAAAGGAATTAGCTTTAAATTTAGAAGCAATTTTTGGTAATATTTTTGTTTTGCGGATTAAGTGCATTCACTCAACAAAAAAAAAAACAGACTACAAAAGTAATGTAAAGCATTTTCACTTGTAAAATAATGGAAACACAAAACGTTAAAGTGTCAAGAGCTAGCAATGATAATTATTAAATACTTTTACTATTCTGCAATTTTCTTGGGTGTATAAGATGATATCCCTGTCCAGCAGTTGTCCATTGATTGGTCTTTCACTGTGAAATTCATATTGACTTTGCTGTATAAAATAAGTTAGCTTTGCTTTGAAGGATTACTACATTGGTACATCTAGTGTGAGCAGTGATAGACTGAAATCTAGCAGTGGTTAGGATCWTTCTTCATAATGGATTCTGTCCATTGCATGGAAGAAGTCTGATAACAGACCCTTTGTTTCGATGTTATTGTTGATGGTCAACAATTTGCTTTAATTTTTCATTTTCTTCCTTTAATTCTTCATTTTCTTCTTTTAGTTTTTTTATTGTGTCCTTCAAAGTCTGAACTTCCTCATGAACTACTGTTAATAATGCTGACTTGATTTCAGTAATTTTATCCTGGAAAACAACAATCATAAGAGTGAGCGATTTAACATGGAAAAATGTATACCAAATGTACACAATTTAAACAAAACTACAGGAGCAGGAAATCCTAGAATATCAGAACTGTAATAGGACATCTGTTGATGATTTGGTATTCATATGATAGCTCCCAATATGAAATGTGATCAGTGAATATACCATTGAAATACTAATATCAAGATACAGAGTATTACATAAGAAATGTACTTTGAAGTGGATCCAAAGTCCTATTTATGTACTAACATCAGCCTTCAATTAATTTTGTATTTATTAGAAATGAACAGGTAAATAACCATCGGAATACAGGGTCCCTATTAGTTTCCATCAAAACTGCTGTCAGTGCCATTCTATATTTTCTATTTGGAGTAGGGATAAAGAGTATTGCTGTGATGCTGTCTGTGAAGGCAACTTGGTACATACTTCATGACTAATGGAAAAATTATACTTTATTTTATCAATCAATAATAGTTATTTTCAGCTTACCATTGCAGATGCTATGGTGTTGACAATTGGAAGCTCATCCCCAACTGAAACTGCTTCACTAAAAATACAAACAGAAGAACTTGCTTTAATGTTTTGGAATCCATACTTCATAATCCTACAATGTAAGCAAGCTCTTTGCACAGTTTTGAAAAATGAGAATGTACAATGAGATGAATGTACAAAAAGATAAATGAAAGGTTTTGTTAGATAGTATACCCTATTATGGCACTGTCATGTTGTTCTTGGTAAGAATGCAATGTGATTATGCAAAAAAGACTTTGAGCGAAAAAAAGGGAAAAGAATGTCTACTCAATATGAAAACAAAATTCAACCAGCTGCCATTGTTAAAATGGTTACACTCATGGACCATGCTCTCCTGCATCTTTGAAAGGCATATTACAATTTATAAAACTACTTGTTTCCTGTAAACAGCCAACGAAAGCCCTGATTTCAGGAAATGAGTGTCATTATAGAATCCACATGGTTAACCAGTTTAGATGTGAATTGTTCCTAACTGAATAGCTACTCATCCATACAAAACAATCTTTTGTGTAACTAATTGAACAAGAAGCTGATCAGTCAAGAACATTTTTTATTTAATTAGGTCAACCATTTTTCAGTTTGGTGTATAAATTGCTAAATTTGTCAATGTATAATAAGCTTTATGGTTGAAATTGGAAGTGCTTTRTGTAAGAAACTATGGAATTTACAAAAGCATTTATCTGTGAATTTGAAATGTTTAATTATACAGTTATGTGAGACAAGCAACAAAATGGATTATTGATGTCTTAATYACAAATTTATATATGTTGGGGTTTCTRGAAGATCAATGCGCATGGTATGCAGGAATGTTTAGGTTTACCAATCTGCAAATCCTTGTGGCCTGCTAAAAATTCTAACAACCTTTGGGAAGCTGGATCTCTTCTGTGATTGTTTTACTATTGTTGATCAGYTCACATATGAAGCTTAACTTATACTTGTAAATTGACTCAACAAGATAAAAAGTTTTTTTTCACCCTGGAATCATTGCTGTTACTTGAAAAAAATGTTAAGTGAATTTGATTCAAAGTCTAAGAAAGGATGATATTGTCAACGACCTCTCCTTGATACCAAGAGAAGCATTCAAAGAAGAGTTGCATACAAAGATCAGTTTCATAATATTCTGGTAAAACTAAAATAACAACATTCTAAACCAAAAAACTTTAAAATAATAATATTCTAAACCAAAAAACTGAAATAATTGATAAACATTATACCATCAAAAAGAGCTGCAAAAACTATCTTTARGCTCTAAAATGCTGAAAAATTTCAGAATACATAATACGTTCTCGGCTTCAAATGGTTAAATACATGTACTTGAAGCTTTTATTCAAAGTTCAAAATCACAAATTTATCATTCAGTAACCATATTTTTAGAATCAGTATATAAAAAATATATTAATTTTGTCCTATTGTTGTTGAGCTAATACATGCATTGGTTCATGTTGAATAATATGTAAATCAACATTGCAAGCAATTTGCTCAGCCTCTATATACCGATGGATTTGTCAATCAGGTGTAAAAATCAACTTCAATTCATGACAATGCAAATGAAAGTGCCAACTGAGTGTAAAACCCAGGAACATTCACTGGAAAGACTTCTTTCTACAAACATCAAAACAGTTTACAAAAAGCTCTTTTTGATATTTGCCTTGAAGGGAGGCATTGTGTTTTTTTAGAATTATTCTACTAAATGAGCACGAGAAATATTTTAAATATGATTTTGAATATTTGCTTTGCATTTAATTGGTTTCAATATGTAAATATCTCACTTAAATGCATAAATCTGACAGACTTAAAAGAATATTGTGCTTGCAGCAGTTTTTCTAATTTTTTGCGTCATCTTATATCCAAGACCTGCAGTTATTGCAGGTCTGTGCAAGATATAAAAAAGAGTTAAAATATTCTGAAAGCTCGAAATGAATGGTGACTGTGAAAGTGTTTGTACAAAATCTTGGTTAAGATCCAAAAATTCAATGTTACAAAAGTGTCGGTTTCGATAGTTTCAAATCTTAATGTAACACATACATTGTAAAACTGTATCAAAATATATTAGCAACAAAATGATTTACATCATCAGAAATCAATGCAAACATGAAATAAACTGACTTAACAAGAAAATGCAAGCTGAAAGGAGGAGGGATTTTACAATGCAACGATACATGTACTTCACATAATAATAKACACTTAATGTTTTAAAAAATACATTTTGTATTCAGAAACATGCTTTTAGTAAAATTTGCTTGACTGAAGCCAAAATCATCTCACATTTATATGCTAAAAAAAGAAAGCAACCTTTTGTTCAATTGTACTAATTGTATAAGGAATGAATAAAACTGAAAATATTTCGAAGTTGAAATAATAATGTAGGAATTGAATCAATACTTTGAAGTTAAAAGACATTAAAAATACATACAAAGAGGTAGCAGAAGAAGACGAAACCGGCAACAATTACATTGTATAAAGTGAATTAAACAAAACAGCAAATTTAGTACAATTAGGACAGAGAATTGCAATGAAAWTGTCAAAAATATTTTTTTCCTTTTTGTACATTAAGAAATAAACTTAAGTACAGAGGTTTGACAATAATTCCACGACCAAACAGTTGTGATATCCCAATCTAAGAATTCAAAGAGTTCACGTGGCCGGACCGAGTCAACAAGTAAACAAAACTAACTGAACCCATTTCAACGGCCGTGAAAGCTAAAACTGCGCAAAGACACAAGGAAACTAGAATTCATTTCAAGTTTGCCTATCGGTATTATTCTTTGTATATGTATCCTTTCCTCAAGGCTTTAAATAATCGAGAGTCTTTCTCTCTTTTACTAGACCAACCATCAATAAATTATCGCTTAGGGAGTCAATAACTTTCTAACACCAAAAACTAAAATTTTGCGGTGAAAAGTGTTTTCCCAATCCGCTAAATGATCAGACTTGGAATATGTGGCATAAAACGGCTACAAAAATCGAGAATGATGTTCAAAAAGGTCTTAGGAAAATACACTTAATGTGGTTATTTCACTGGTGTGGTTCCACGTTGCATGTTGCTAGTCAGCTTATGATATCTCTCCTCACCTTTGCGAAGTTATTCCTTGGAGTCTTGCTGCTTCGGCAATTTTCTCAATTCTTTCCGCTGGAGCTAAAYGTTTGCTAGATGTTAGATCTACATGGTCCGATTTTAAACTAGCACTTGCTAAATTAACTTGTGGTTCYGAGTCTCTCTTTCGCAATGCTTCCAAGTTGGTCGGCGCTAAACAAGGAGTTTGTCCCGGTTTATAATTAAAAGTAACTTCTACCGTATTTTTGTGGTTTGAAATATATTGATCGACGGCGTTTGAYGCGTCTGAAGAAACATGATTCGGAGTGAAAAAGTTAGAACTAGCCGTACTAGTTGAATGTACTTCTCGACTATCTGCACTGAATGTAGAGCTTGTTGTGATCGGTGTTGGCTGCTCAAAATCACGGCAAAGCCAACGTCCACGTTTATAAGGCTCTTTATTTTGAATTCTGACAACTTTAAACCTTGATCCACCATTTCCATTGCCTGTGGTTGAGTCCTCGATCGTTTCTATTTGAATTTCTGTAACATCACTTTCATTTAGGTCCTCTGCATCGTAGCCATTGCTATCACCGCGACTATGCGCTCGTGTTTCAGTTACACTTGTAATTTGAAATGCACTTTTCTTTTTAGGTCCCTGATTCACACCAGGTTGGGAAGAYGAAACTGTTACCTCAATAGAAGGAGTGTTTGCAGCATCGAAAGCTGGGCTTTCAAAGTGCACGGAAGGAGTGTGAAACGCCTCCTGGCCATGCGGAACGCAGTCTTGCTGTTGTTGTTGGTTCATGTCATTGTCCACTCCTTCGGCCATAGTAAGTTCATAAGCGCCCAAAAGAAGGCCTGTGAAAGCTTAATAACCGAACAACATCCATGTTCAAAATGAGGGACATTCAAGCCATTTTTCGCTTCATATCAAGGCAAAATGGAGCAAAAATGGCGCTTCACTACATTCACGGCACATAGCTAGATATCCACTAGACGTGACGTCGTAGTCTTGTTCGTCTCTCGACCAATCATGCTTCGAGTTGCCATTTTTGGCAGCAGCTCAATGAAAGTCTCGCAAAATGCGGTTCGCTTTTGTTTTGCTGATAGCGGGGTCAATGAATTTAACCAATAAATTACCCCAAAACACACAGTCTTCCAACTTAAAAATTATCGTCAGTTGAATTAATCATAAGTCACTAAAACATGATATTTCCATCCCGCATTACCTGTTTCGCAGTGGGGTGTTGTCATTTCGCAGTTTCTAGCTTAATTCGATTAGTTTTCAAATGTGTACAGTGATTGGTTGGCGCTTAAATTGTTCAAAGAACAATTATTGGTTGAGGCAAAGTACGATATAACGATCTGATGAACTATTGTTATGCAAGTGCAGTTCAGCATCGTCAGATAAAGGCGGCTGAGCGGACTTGTATTGTATCGCCAGAGTTCAAAAATTATTGCACTTTGACCATGTGACCAGCACGGATGTGAAGAATTGTTTGTTAGTCAATCAAAAACTCGGCACAATTTTTAATAAACTTCAACTTTTTCAACTTTTTGTTGAATTATTATTTGAAATTTTAATATATACTGCTATTGAATAAACCTGCTTTCATCAGCACTGATTTGTCAAYACAAAAGTTATTGCCTGTGAATGGAATAATTTTGAAACAGTCTGGAATACAAATTGTAGCTCACTCAACAGCGGTTTTTACATAGTCTGAATGTATCGAGGACTAGCCAAAACCATTTCAAATGGCTGACCGCAGTCCGACATGCATARTAAACTAGGATCGACGGGGAGCTAACGAACCCAAGTAAATCTACTCGCAAAGAAAAAATTCAATTACTGGATGAAAGGAAGAAAGGAAGAAACTTKAAAGAAATGAACAAGAGAGAAAACTAGAAAGAATCTAATGAAGAAACTGATGGAGAAACAAACACCAAATGAATTAATAATAAAAAAATAAATATGAGGAAAGAAATTCTAAATATGATCTTTTAAAACATTGRCCTTTTATAACAGCCACTGTCAATATATTTCTTTATAAAATATCAAGCGAGCTACTTATCAAAACAATGTGAATTTCAATAGTGCAAAAACAAAAATTATAAACCTTTGTCAAATCGCATAAAAACCACAAATTTTCATGCTACTCGTCGTGTTTGACCGCTAATCAAATCGGAGCACGTGAAACCTACTGATCAAAGTTTTTTTTCCAAGTCTGTTATCCTGCTCTTCGTCTAAAGGAAAACTTGGAAAATTACTGAAAACACTCGTTCAGAAAACACAAGGGTTTTGGGGATGCGGGTTTTGATCACGCCCACCTCGAGGGGGTGCAGTTAGGCTGAACCATCTGTAAAATTAAACGAGACTATCTATATAATTCCAGTACCGTTAGGATGAAATCAAGGGGTAAATACTGATTTATACGTAATATACTATCATATAAAAAGCTATTACAATTCGTGTGGAAATCACTGAAACATTAGTTTACGATAAAGTGAATTAAAATATTATTGCCACATGTCAGATAAGGCCATCCAAACACATTTTCTACAGCATCTGTGGAAAGTATCACAATCATTTTTGATCGCAGGAAAAGAAGACTGTAGTAGAATCTTTACTTGTGYACAATCTCGTAACCGGACAGCTTCCCAAAACCCCCATTTAGTTTTTCGTCCAAATACAAACGCTGTATTCACACTTTCTGAAGGACGGACAGCCAACGTTTCCCATGAGAGCGTCCGTTTACGGGAGGTTAAACTGTATATTAAAAGTTTATTTGAGTGGCCTTCGAGTCAATGTTGCACTGTTACTGTCATCCATATATAATTATAATCATTGTAATCTCGTATTTGATAATAATTTGTTTATGCAAGGCCAAGMTTTAACGTCGAATTTCTTTTTTACAGTCATCTGATCATTCAGATTCAAGMTTTTAATGTTCAACATGCAAAAGTCATCGGTTTTGAGCTCATTTGCGTTAGGGGCGACAGAGTGGTTCGAAGTATAACCTTGACCTAACCTACCTAGTAAATACTTTACCATAAATTTCTAACTAACATATATGGTGTCTTTTGTCAATATATATTTTACTAATTTCAAAGAAGTGCCATCTTTGTCTTTTGTTTTCATTGGAACACTACAAAAGACATATATATCTAATTTTTTTTAGCAAACGAGTGAATATCTTATACCAATATATAATATATATAATAAGTCTATTTCCTAAGAAACGTGAAGTAAAACTGAGATTTTGTTTCTGTTTTTCTCTCTGTTTCTCTCTGTTTTTCATCTCTATCCCTTCTATGTTCAATCTCTTTTGATGTTCTTATCCTCACAATTTCACTTCTTGCTGCCTTGTCTCTTGATCTTCCACTTTCCGCGTCTTCATAAAAACGCATTTTGCAAGCCCAGAACGTTGTAAGCGGATCACATTATGCATTAAACTGGCTTTTGATGAGTTGATCTTTTTTCACCAAACTTCCATAGTGATGCTCTCCAGACCAAAGGCGCAAACAGTAGAGAGAGGGTAGTGACGCTAAGAATTAGGAGATAGACCTAAAAGTGGAATAGACTTGAGAAACTTGAAAAGAGTTTTTGTTAAATCACGTGTTTTCAACGATAATGAACGGCATCGGAATACGAGCAATCTTATGGGGTTATCACAATATAAACTCATTGAGTAAATAATTAATTCAACAAATAATTGAATGAAATGTATACCTCTCGGGAAATAAGATGGAAACGTCTAGCACGACTTCCAAGGACGAAGGAAAACTCACTAACTTGAGCCAATCCAGCCGCTACAATGTACTTATTGTTGGTAGACTTGGGTAGGAACAACCGTAAGACGAAAACACCAACTAGAAACTATGAAAAAAGCGGGTCAAGAGTGATTTGCGTTTTGAGTATAAACTCTTGTTATAATCATATTAAAGTTTTATTCAATGTAGCATTATCGTTTCTTCGTAAAACACTGCAACTGTTAGCGTCACACTAAGGCTTGTTCAAGGCGTTTTCGTAGCGTTTCTATATCGTGCTCTGATTAAAATTTATAAATGTTACAACGCTTTGACAGGGCAAGCGGTTAAACTCAGTAGAATCCGGTTTAAATTACAGAAGATAATCCGCAGACAAAAAAAGCTCTTCTCTTGTACCTACAAGAATTGCATGAACATTGCATGTGTAGGCCATGATTCTAATCAATGCCATCGTTTAGAGATAAAGCTCATACTCGTGGTTGCTATCGTACTTATCCGTAGAGAAAGAGATYGCCAATATTTCTAGCTCCAGGAATCCCGATTACGGGAATCACGCCAAGCATGCCGGGACTCATGYACATAAATTTCCCGCTATTTCCGGAGAAATTATCAGTCGCATTTTGCCGGTCACTGGCGGGCAATTCCGTATATCAAAATATTTKAAGAATCTAGATTTGGTTTCGTGGATATCTAACATGAATTAAAGGTGACTTTAATTTCCTGTATTTGCCGGGGATTGAGAATGTTTCGATGTTCCGGAGCGACAACTCAATTACTCATCTCATTTATATTTGCTATTTTCTCTCATTTAATTCATAACCGTTAATAAAATGAAAAGATTCCACTAAATCRCGTATTCCTAGTAAATTATATATTTTATATAATTTTGCATTTTATTAAATCTTTACCTTAAAAGTGACAACACCAAATGTTAAAGTCAGCGTCACAGACAGCTCGTTAAGAACAAACGATGGAAAAACATGAAGACCTGGTTTGAGAGGAACAAAATATGAAAAAAAAATAGCAAATATTCAACAAATCATGCTATTTCACGAGCTGTTCTATTGTAATCTGTACTTTTTTGTAAGGGTGGTTGATGAAAGTATTGCTTGAGAGAAAGAAAAGAACGATGCGCACGCTTTTATTTTATCGGCGCAACGCGCTCTTAGCAAAATGCGGATTACCTGTGGTATTACGTCATGTTACCTTGCCTCGCGGGATCAAAAACTAGTCTTAAACTTACCTATTGAAGCAAAGAATAAACATGATAAAAAATCCTTGATTGGTTCGACGAGATGAGAAACCTGCAAAGGAAATGGTTACAAATAAACAGCAGTCCTCCAATGACAAAGTAAAACTTGGCTCATAGTGAGAATACAAGAACTATGAATTTTCATTATGATTTGGTGCCAATACCTGTTTTACAATTTGTTCACCATTGGCACTGATAATAACTCCTGTAACAAAACATCCTAATTCCATAGAGATACCAAGGTGCTCTGTCATCTGAAGAAAACATGCCATGCATAAATAGTCTGGGAACACAGTGACTAAATAATCTTAGGAATGGCCATACACAGTTGGAGGCCATTAAAACAATACTAAAATCAAACAAAATACAATGTATACTTACAATTAACATGCAAAATGCTAGTGCTATTGTCCCTAAAAAGTACAACTCCATGGATCCTATTCTTTGCAGAGTTCTGTTAAAAACCATTTGAACATGTATTATTACCTGATAAGCCTTAGTTATATTGACAACATACAGAGTTGGTAGTATAGAGTGGTTATTTCTGAACACTAAATGTATTCAAGTGGGTGTGGCACAACAGAATACACTAGGAATAACAGAGCTGTTAACCCCTAAACTATTCAAAGCTGGAGATTTGTCGAATGCTCAATTTATTATAATGATGGTTAACCATATGGGCTTCCTGTGGCAAAGTGAACAATAAAAACTGTTTCACCCCTTGACTCAAAATGTAGTTTGGATAATGTTTTGTCAACTTATGTTAAGAATGTGGCATTGATAAATTTCCAGCGTTGGTCAATTTGAATGGTTATCTGGTAGATTCTGGTCTATCCGGCCTGGGGGCCACCTAGAGATGAATCCTTAAATCTGGCCATACTCCTGGAATGCAATAAAGACCACAAAAAAAGGGAAAAGCACTGTCATCCATCATTCAACAAGCCTTACCTGTAAAATGGACCAATCAAATATCGTGCAAGCATGATACACAAGATAAGAAGACCAATCATAGATCCCAGAACCTCAAACACAACCCATGCAGTCATCAAAAGATTAGTGTGAGACGTATTACTTCCATGAATAATATGATGTACAATCCCATGYTGGACTTTGCTTGATGGTGTAGTTATAATGTGACCTGACAATGCTGGCAGTATAGCTACAATAAGTCCTAGATACACATCTTGCATTACCAGAATGCCAAGCAGGCTGCTACTGTAGTCATGGTTACCATTTGTGTGTTCTGARGGGAGAAATGATTCAGAGCTAATTTACCAAGTTCTGCGTCAGATTTCTTATGAAAATAGTTATTTCAAAAAAGAGTTGTCAGAGTAGCACAGGAATTGAACAACCAAACTCATTGTGGCTACACGTTTTGATGAATGATATTTACTCTCATCATCTTGAGAGAAACATGAACAAACCATTATATTATTATTAAAGAAGGCTAAGTTTCCATGATGATGCCATTTGTTGGCAGCYCTGTGATCCACGTCATTGCAAAGAAAAATGAAATCTGCTCAACATTTATATAATTAAAGATACTGACCTTTATTGGAATGRTCTCCAGCTTTGTTTCCTAAGAATTTGACAATGAGAGGAGTACTGGATAAAGATAAACATGCTGCTACAAATGCACTTTGCTGAGGTAGAATACCAAAACACATCCCTCCAAGCATACCAAAAACAACAATGAGAACCATCATTAGAGTACTGCCACCAACAGAAACTTTCCATACCTATTATAAATATAATAAATACTAAAATAATAGGATTGGCCCACCATTTTGCAAATAATACATYCATTATCAAAGCACTCAGATGGGCGTGTGCATGGTTTCATGATGGGGGTTCCAGCTCAGTTTTGTTGTTTCACGYTGAAGAAGGAGATTGACAGTAACGTTGCACAAGRATTGGCAAACAAAGTCTCATAATTCAAATACCTCCTCAGCCAAGGAAYGGTGATTTKTGGAACCCCCTCCTACARGCTCARCTGACMTATCACCCTATATTTACCTTTCTAATTCTTTCMGGGGAGAATTCTAAACCAACAGTGAATAGGATAAAGAACACACCAAATTCACCAAGTGTTTCCACCTGAACTACAGACTAACAAAAAATAATGTTATGCAATTAAGCATTAGAATATATTTTCTGTTTCTGTTCTTTAGAACAACAAAAAAGTTTTGATTTGCTTTTTAGCCCAAWATACAGTAAGTTTGTGATTTATAGCAAGCTCGTCAAGCTATGACCCAAGATTTAACCCAAAACAACYGAGAGGGAGAAAGACATGCAGCGAAGGAAGCTGAACAGAAAGTTTTCATTTGTTATTCTGCTCAAATCCTATCACTGCCTCTTTCAAGCTTCCATTACTGCTCCCTTCTCTSCTTGTTAATCATAATTATTGATAATTATTATCTGTAAATGCTCATAATAGTGAGATGCTTAATGCATGCTATCTAATATGATTGCTAAGCACAATCAAATTATGCATGTAGTTTCAGCACTCGTAGCCACCCGGAAATTATAGGACAGTGAGCATAACTTGATCTACTGGTAAATAGATTTTTTATGATCACTTTCTTGCTGACTTTATTTGTTCCAGTGATCATGTTGAAACCATCTAAAGGTGTATCCAATCAATTTACCTTAATAATATTGACACCAGTTGGACCAAGAACCATGCCACTCATCACAAAACCAAACATGGTTGGTAGTTCTACAACTGTACATAAACATGCTCCAAAGAAAGAAAGAATACAGATCCAAATAATATCTTTAATCAAATGAAGGTCTTCGTGTGGTACAGTAGCATCTTTAGATTTTGCTAACACAAACTCATTGCTCTGAGAGTCCACCAGTATGCTCATCCCGTCATCTTTTTCATTTTCAGAATTATCTTTCCCTTCCTCTTGGCCATCTCCTGCAGCCTCGTTTTGATCATCATTCACCCTCACCACTGCCTCGATGGATGCTCCTTTTGCATTTCTCTGCTTCTCAAAAGTATTGTCACTAAGTTTTTTCTCTAATTTGTCCGCGGCAATAAAGACATCACTCAAAACGCTATCTATAAGCTTTCCAATTCCACGTCCGGTGGAGTTGTTCTTGCCATTTAATTTGTGTTCAGCTGTAAGGTCTTTTTCTGCTTCGCTTATTGAATTGAATTGAACTTCTTGACGTAGAGCGATAGTTTTAAATGAGTCAAGTCTTTGTTTAATCGCTTCTTTWATACTTACTACTGATTTGTAATCCTCGTGTAAAAGTTTTCTCAGMCCGCTCATAGCTTCAAATATAGCTCTTTCGGTGTCATTGAGTTCGGCTTGATAAATGTTTATCGCTCTGATTTGTGCATTCGATAGACTTTTCTTCTTCTTTTCTACTTCAAGGACGTGTTTCAGTTTCTGTGTTACCTGTTCTTTAGTGTGAAATAGACCGTTGATTTTCCTACAAGATTTTGAGTCCCATCTTGTGGGATCACAAGAAGAAAARGTCCAAAAAGTGTTTACAATAAACAGGTAAACAATGATATTCTTCGTCATGACCTTCTTGATTCCAAGCAGTAATCGTCTCTCATGGAATACATTTATGATTACTGAWTTTGAAGTCGATTTAATTAAAGTCTATTCTCGCATTTTTTCTTCYATATACTAGTAGCCATGGTCTCTATCAGARGACTTTGATTCGATGAGCCAATGACCCAAATTAGCAAATCTTGTCAGGCGTTCCCGACCGGAGCAAAGTGTCAAATTTTGCAAAAATGACTCACCAGGGGTACRGTTAAAACCAACAAATCGAATATCAAAATAGCTTGCAATTAATTGACATTAACCTTTCAAGAATATTGAAATATTTTTGACCAAGCTTTTAATCTCATTATATTTCTTATAGGAGGCAATTGTGTATATTAGGGTGATCTATTTTGGAAATATTTGCCCAAGAAATAATATTTACTTACTACCTCCCGCTAAGACAATTTGCGCATTGCCTTATGGGTAAGATATTTTCGAAATTTTGGCGCCTTGTTGATTCTGCTAGAAAAAGCTTCTTGGCTTATTTACGACCGTTTATCACAAATTCAGCTGATTTGTATTCTTCGCAATGCTACCTCATTATCATATGAATAATGGATGAAATTATTATACCAAAAGGAAGAGTCGTTGAGGTGATTTCGTTCCTAAACGATCAAGGTATAGTAAACGGCGCGAAAGTAGTGCAAAGTCTACAATATTGACAATTTCCAGAAGCTATTTTATTATCAATTTATTTACTTATTATTCTGCAGATGCTCAAGCACGCAAAAACAGGGGGAATCTCAAAACAGCTCTAGCTGTTGAAACGATAGAAAATTATGCTCGTCGGGAAGGATTGTCTGGCGATTTGATCATTGAACTTGTAGACCTTGCTTGCAGCAAGAAATATAGTAAGAAAAATAACTTAAATGTTTTATATTTCAAATGATCCTCATTCAAAATATATCATAGCTTCTTACCTGGAAAAAGAACTTTTAATAAATTCTGGTATTAAATCATAATTTTACATCAACCATCATCATCATCTCATATCCGTTCTTTAGATGAAAACATTTCTGGAAAAATTATCAAGTCTCTAATTCCTGAAGACTGTGTTCCAAACCTTGCAATTCTGAAAGTGATTTCTTGGATATGCACAAATACACTGTCAAGTAACTTCCAGGTATACTGGTGATGAAGTCAATATCYTTGAAACATGTTAATATTAGTCATGTAATATGTTTACTGATATTWAGGATTTGAGAGCATATAACCTTACAATATTTTCAGGCACTACTTCTGCGATGGATTATTGTTGTATACAAGCTTATTGATGACATTTCATATCTGCATTCTTTGTATGGCATCTTGTTCCTTTTTCTTGAAAGTGATGTTKTGGTAAGTTGAAAATAAAATCCATGCGAGTATAGACCCCTTGCATGTGACGTCAAAGCAGCTTCATCTGGAGGACAAAACAAAAGATTTTTATCCTCTTGGGAACTAGAATCCATTGTTTTGTCCTCCAGTTGCAGCTGCATTCCCATGAACTGCAAGGGGTCTATATTCTAAAACAGCTTTGATCATACTGATTGTTGGAGAGAAGGGGTATAAGAGACAGTTTATTTTTAAATTTTGAGTGAAAGAGGATAAAAAATGCTTTTTTTCAGTGTCCACATGCTTGTTTGCTGCTCTCTCACCTCACAAGACAAGATGATGGTGAGTAGATTCAGTGTTTTTCTTTAGTCTAAACCAACATGTTTCTGAGTTTTGAAATAGTTTTATGGTAAATTATATTATGGGAAAAATTAATAAAAAAACTRTGTTTTCCTCATTTCAGTAAAACATTTCAGAATCAAGAAATTACTAAACCTGCAAAGTCGGGTGGTAAGATTATACTTATCTTTAATTTAAATGTCCTCCTTGACCTGTAATATTTRATTCTTTCCCACATCACACAGGGGCCCCAACGACATTTGACAGGTCTGCTGTCAGTTTACAAAATGTTCTGTCCTCATTTGGTATCCATGGCAACACCTTCAAACTCTGTAAGTTCCTCTGCATGAGCTGTTTGCGATGACTATGCTATATTTAGTTAAGCACCATAGCACATAAAAGTAGTTTTMGGGTATACATTGTTTTATTTATTGGAGCACTGGCAATTTGGTTGTGAAGGTGCTTTTGTTATTGTTATTATAAGCTTTTTTGCTATTATCTTGTCAGTCGTGGTTCAAGACAAAAGATAAAGGTTGGTGTGAAGCAGTAGCCAAAATACAGGTATGTTGTCCATTTTTTATTCTTTCATTTCCATTCATTTTCTTTTTTGCTTTCCTTCTGATATCTTTTTCATTTACTTAGCAACAATTCAATAAAAARCTATAGTGCCTTTCAATTTCCTTTTCCCTCTTTTGAGTATATGCAATCAACTTAACATGGTTTTCAGGCCAAAAGAAGTTCTAGAATCTCGCCTGAGAGATTATTCATCCACATAAGAGGACCATCAAGCTCTGTAAGTATTTTTCTTATCATAACTCTTTCCTGATTTTACTTTTGAGATCATGATAAATATATTTAACTGATTACAACTATTCAAAAAAACATATTAAATATACACTCTTTTTACAATCTTACTCTCGTTGGTGGTAAACTAAGATGTCCAAGAGAAGAAGGATAGGTGTGAAGCCTTGTCCAACCAAAGTGCAATGTGTAGATGAAACATGTACAAGCAATCGGTCCAACAAGATGTCTATAGTGGATTTGAATGACTTTAATGATTTATTGGAAAATATTGACAGAATTGAGGTAATATTTATAAAAATAAGTGCTTAGTGATTGTTTTTATGATAAGACCTGATCATTTGCAATCTCTTTGCATAGTTTCCAAGCCAAATAGGCTCTGTTCTTGAGTCTCCATTCCTGCAACACGTGTTGTGCTGTAACCCAAGTAGTATAACTCTTCAAAGATTGAACTTCTGGCTTTACCAGTTTCTGCATCAAGGTATAAATAAAACATTTTGAAAAATCAATGAATTGCATTTCAACAGGATACTTATCACATGTAAAAAGAATGCTTTTTGGACAATTATTATAATGTATATTATAAATAGAATGTTGAAAATATACAGAACTCAGGCAGAAGATTGAAATATTTTATGCTATGGTATTTCTTCTCCATAGCATTTCTCCAACAAGAATCAACAGGAAATGATGAAGCAGAGAGCATGATTCTTCACTCTTTGATTCAAATGACATCTTTTCTACAGGTGATTGAATACTAATTGATTAATGATCTATTGTTTGATTGATTGAATGATTTTTTGATTGAATGATTTTTTGATTGACTGATTGACAGGAGTCAATACCAGCCATGGAGGTATGGTTAATGCAATATCTTCACACCTGGAATAATGAGGATTATAGAACTCTTATCCTGGAGCTCATCAAATATTTGAAAATGCATCCCTTTGTTAGTAAGTGACTATCAGCGAGATTATTACCATTATTGTAGTTAATCTGATGATTGCTATCATCATCATTAATATTTTATTGATAATTAATCTTTTCATCCATCCATGTTGTCTTTGTAGAGCTGAATGAATTATTTTTAGAGCCATTAAGGAAGCTTTTCTTTGCATCGTCAGTATATGTCAAGGTAAGTTTAATGATAAAGGTTTCGAAAAATGCAAACTTGAAGATACATACAAGTAAAGTATGGTCTATCACAATCATTAATGATTTTGTACTTTAGTTTACTTGCACTAAAACAGCAAGAATCTACTATTCTTTTYTTTCACATTCCCTTTTTAGTATACAGTTTGTTTATCATTTATTTATTTTTTGTTATGAGTTGTCTATATTTTGTAAATATGTTGCCATTCCTTTATCCTCTTCTCTAAGATATAAAGTCTTGCTTATCCACTTTATAGTCACAAGTACTGTGCTGTTATACTGAACTTTTGAGAAATTTTGCTYCTATTGAATTACCAAGAGCTCAGCAGTTACAAGATGACACTTTACTTTCTAAAAGGTATGAGAGCATGTTTCATCACCAGGATGTTAGAATCATAAAAAAATAATATATTGAATGCTATTATTTATAGAAGTTTCTCCAAAATGGCCTTTGCTCATTAGCTTATTTTTTTCAACCTGAATAATTGACGTTACCTGAAAAGTTTATTTTAATCAGAAACTGTAGAGTTATGAAGTTTTTATATAATAAATATGATATCATAACAGAATTGTATGGTTGAAGTAGARACCCATACATATTTTTTGTAAGATTAGCAGTTTAAAAGAATTGTATCTCTCTATGGATTTTAGTATTTTCTAGATTTTTACAGCTTAAAATTAAAGCATTTTACTTTAGTATCTTAGGATTTMCTTTGTCTTTTCCAACAGTTCTTCTGTCTTTCTTGAGGAAAAACAGACCATAAATGATTATCCAGAACAAACCATTTATGATTTCATTAAGTATGTGGACCGCATGTGTGTTGTTGCATTACAGGTAAGACAWAGCTTTTAATATTAAACATAATGTCAAAACATGAGTTGCCTTGAGTAAAAAGAAGAAAGAAGGACAGAAAAATGTCAAGTTGTTTTACATTGTATGTAACCAGATCATGGTTGATTTTTGGGAGTGTATAAAGTAAACAGTTATTATAATAAGTAACTTTATAAAAACATAATTGAATCAATAAWGCAATWAAAGTTTGCTGCATTTTTTTCAAGGTAGAAAAAGACCATCCTTTGCTACAGCATTGCATTTTGAACTTCTTTGAGCTGGTAGGTCTGCTGCATTGCTGTGGTTAATTGTTTTAATCTCACTAGTTGTAATGCATAATGCATCCAGTATRCATCAGGTCTTAATCAAAATTTTTAGTCAAGAAAAATTGATCAATGATTAAATTGACACAATTTTTTWAAKATAAATTTTCATTTAAGGCCTGATGAATAGCCCATTCTATTTATRAATTATGGAATTTCAATGTATGTTTGTTGGTTTGCAAGGTTTCTGTGRTGCATACCCGTTTCAAAGTTCCATTCGTGGTCATTCCATCACCACCCATAGTTTATCAACTATTTTTTMCTGAAAATGCCATGGCATGCTCTAGGATTTGTCAAATTATTGTCAAGTAAGCTACAAATGTAATGTTATTTTTTATTGAATGAGAACATTTTGCACAGTGCCATATTTGTTCATGTCAATGTTCCAACATATTCATTCCACATCATCATTGACATGGTATTGTAATATTATGATTATAATGTTTATTGATATTTTTATTTAGTTATAGGGAAACCTTTGTTTCTCTGAAAAGCTTTGAGAAGGATCATGTGAGTCAAATAATAGACTGCATAGCAGCTCTAGGGGAGGGGGACAGAAGGGGATGCACCTGCCCTAGTGCTGCTATGCAGCCAAGTTAAATAAATAAGCCTGAGTAGCATTTATATTGTATTGGATGATTTTAATAATGATCTGCTATTCAATGATATAATCTTGATGTATTGCTATCTGTAGACTGACACTAGTATCTTTCATTTAAGCCTGGTCCCAGTTCTATACCAAATAGTGGATCAAGCATACAAACTCTTAATCAGTACATCTTGGACATCAGTGATAGTCTTTGGAGGAACAAAGCCTTTTTAGACACTGAGAAATCTTTATGCTTTAGCATGCCATGGTAGGAGCAGTTTTAAATTAACTGTCATGAAGTTACCTTTTATGATATTCTTTAAAGCTATGACTTTAATAGTTTACATCCAAACAGAAATATACTTATCGAGTCTATCGAGTCTGTTTACATCCAAACAGAAATATACTTTTATGTAGATAAAATTTATTGCCTTCATTTAGCGAATTATCTACAGACAACCCTCAAAAAGTCCTTAACACTGCACTCACAATGTTTCCATGTCTTCTGTTGTGTTGTAACTCAATATGTACACTTTGAATAGTAATGTTGAATCATCACTTATTCATTGTCTTATTTTTCATCATATTTTACATAATATTTAGACATTACAATGTGTATAATTTGTATTTTTTATAAAAGGGATGCTGAAAACGTAGACATACCACACATGAATGAACGGTTTGCTKTTCATCATCATCCTGCACTTGTTGGTTTTGCATGGACTTTCCTTCAACAGGTAAAGATAATAATAAGTCAGATTTCATAATYCTCAATGTTTCAATGATAATAATGATTGGCATGTGATTGTGTTACTAGTAAGCAGTAATGGTGTAATTAATAATCATAAGAGCATTATAGTATGTGAATGATTTCTTATCATATTTTATAAGATTTTGATAAGAGCTGTGTTCAAATCCTCATTTAGTATTATTATTTGTCATCATTTTTTTTTTTTTTGCAGACACAACCAGAAGATGTTTTATTAAATCCTAGTCTTATCAAGGTGAGATTAACTGATTAACATTTTCTTTATATATCATTCATTTCATTCATTTTTTATTCTTTCCTTCATCCTTTTATCCATTTCTTCCTTCCTTCATTTTTTATTCTCTCGAATTTGATCATTCCTTTTTAATTCACTCTCCCATCCATTTGTCCAATGTATTCCTTCATTCATTTATTCACCTATTTATGTGTTCATTTGTTCATTCATTTTCTCATTCATTTGTTTCTCATTTTTTTCAGGGAAATGTCAGGCAAGCTTACCTAGAGTATCTTGTTCAGGTGAAAYTACAAGGAGTTGTCTCTTTTTTGGAGACATTTATTCGCCAGAGGAAGTAATGTACAAGTTATTATATAATGTTTAATCAGTGGCACATCAAGAGAGAGGGTGCAATATCAGACAATAACAATATGTCATGGTACTRATTTGCTTTGCCTCCAGTGGTAATTTTCARTATCACCATTTGGCATATAGCGTTTTCCTTTTTGCTCCAAWAACACAACTTCTTCTATGAGAAATTYTGGTGATRRAACCTGGATTTTGGTGTCTTTCACAAGTACTGTGTTTTACGTYAAATAATCACTCTGAAACAGCTTTTAAGTTTTAGTTTTTAAAGCCTTGTGATTGAGCTAATATTAAGACATCTCGATAAGCCATTCAAGAGGATCGGGTCTGAAATGTCTGATCTTTGAATTCAAATGTGTCCATCATTGTTTAAGAAGTGTATTATTTTAATAATATATGTCAATTGCAATGAAACTCATTTTTACCAATTAAAATTAACCCAAATGAAACATGATTTTTTCCACCAGTAAGATATTAAAACTATATAATTGTTTATACAATAAGTACACTATGAATGATACTTTATGATTGTGGATTCAACGAAGGAAAAGGAAGTACACTACTAGTCTCCTCAGATGCAAGGAGATTAAGTTAACTACTGGAAAGGTTATATATAATAAAGTTACTCCCACTATTGTGACATAATATTTTTCTTAAAATTGTCTTTTTGGTTGGTCATGGAGACTCCAAACTCCACTGCAGTCCATTCCTATGTTTACTATACATTGAGGTGAAAATCAGCTTAGTTCAGCATATATTGGAGATTGTTCCATATATGGATGAACAATTACACTAGACTGATATACAAACATAGAATGCTTTCATGTATAAAGTATCTCATATGCTGTAAAGAACTTAGAAAATATTCAAAGACCTAATTCTAAACAAAAAGCATGAAGATTCGTACATAGAAATTAATGTGTTGCCTAGTCCAATGATTTCCAAAGTAATGACATCATTTCACTTGAGTGAACCTGTATTGTTATACAATGACATAATTCAATAACAAGGTGTGTGCATAAATCTATCAGAATCCTGCTGCTTTGGTACAACCATATATGGAAGTCGCACAAACAATTACACTGATAGTTCCTACTCTTGGAATATGAAGTAATGTTTTMAYGCAACGACGAAGGTCAACAAGCTCTGTATAAAACCAGGCCGTGTACCAGAGCAGAGTAAACAAAATGGATATTTACTCGTCTTCTGTCGAGTTTATAACAACTCACTGGACAACATGCACTATAGGTGCTGTGGTCTTTTTACTGATTTTCGTCTACTGGTACGGAACTAGAAGTCGTTCTCGTCTTGAGAAAAGTTTCCCCGGACTTCCAGGTCCAAAGCAATGGCCCTTCATTGGAACTYTGCCAGATTTTATAAAAAATGGAGGTCAAATGCACTTGCATTTCGACGATGACTACAAGAAATTTGGGAAAGTATATCGCACAATTGTATTTGAAAGCCCCACAATTGTCGTCAGCGACCCTGCGATGATCAAAGATATATTTGTGAAACATTTCGACTGCTTTTATAACAGGCCGGTAAGATTCTTGATTATATTCATTACTTAATRATGGTCAACTCTTTTATGAAAATTTGCGATATCAATCGATTAGCGATCCTGGTATGTTGTAATATGTTTTATCTTTTCATCGACCATCAGCGAAATATCCGGGGAGGAAGGGGCCCAACTTGGGTGGGGGTGACTTGGGTGCAGGGACATACTTCTTTAACGTTTGATTGGAAAATGATCTATGTTGGAACAAAAGGACAAGGAAGACCTATTTCAATCATGCATTAAAAATATAGGTTTTTATTCATTTCTTTGTTATATTAAAGAAATTAATAATGGTGCAAAATTTCTATGTTCTTTAGCTTCTAATTACCATCCCAGAACCTTTTGATAAGGGACTTGATGCAGCCAGAGGTGAAACATGGAAGCGTATCCGTACTATTGCATCACCTACTTTTAGTTCTCATAAACTCAAAGCCATGGTTCCATTGATGAATGTTAGATGTGACACCTTGATCAGCAAAGTTGAAGAATATGCCAAGTCAGGAGAAACCTTTGATATTGTGAAGTAAGTAGTACACAATACCTTAAATAAAATATTTTACTTCTTTTGCACATGTAAGAATTATTAGTATTTTTGGGAGTTAGGGATCGACTTTTAGAAAAGTGAAGGGGAGGGGTGGRAAAGCTGAAGGTTTCTCTTCTCTAGAGAAGAGAAATTCATCTAAGCTCTAGTCCATAACAACAATTTTCATTTACAAAGAGCCTATTCTGACTACATAAACCACTTTTAATCCAACAGACATCAACAAGCCCTGACTCTTGACGTGATCATGTCCGCAGCATTTGGAATTCAAACTGATTACCAGAAAAACCCTAATGACCCAGTGAT